ATCAGTGAGACATTGATGAGATGGGGGGGGAACCAGGCAGAAAGGCAGAAGGGGTCCCTGAGATGGCAGGAGAGTCAAGGGATGTGGGCTCCTGAAAGCCAGGCGAGGAAAGACTTCCAAGGAGTGGAGATTGATCACTCGGGTCAAATACCACCTGCCTGTAGGAGAAGTGAGATGGGGATTGAAGCCGATCATTGAATTTAGCCATATGGAGTTTCATAGAGACCTGATCAACAGATGGTTTGAGTAGAGTCGGGGAGCACAGTGGTGAGCACATGAGAAATGGGAGACGACAAATTGGAGGAACTGAATATGGTGTTCTCCAGGTGTTTTTGCTGTAAGATGAGAAATCCGACAGCACCTGTAAGAATTGTGAGCAAGGTTCCAAGCAATCCACCCATCTCGGCTTCCCAAAGTTCTGGGATTACAGGCGTGAGCCATCGTGCCTGGCCTAGAACTCTTTTTTTTTGAGACAGAGTCTTGTTCTGTCGCCAGGAGCCAGGCTGGAGTGCAGTGGCTCGATCTTGGCTCACTGCAACCTCTGCCTCCTGGGTTCAAGCAATTCTTTTGCCTCAGCTTCCTGAATAGCTGGGACTACAGATGCACGCCACCACACCCAGATACTTTTTATATTTTAGTAGAGACGGAGTTTCACTGTGTTGGCCAGGATGGTCTCAATCTCTTGACCTCATGATCCACCCGCTTCGGCCTCCTGAAGTGCTGGAATTACAGGTGTGAGCCACCGCGCCCGGCCCTAGAACTCTTTTTGTTTTCGAAAAACTGTACCCATTAAACACTAACTCCCCATTCCCTCTTCTCCTAGGTTCTGGCATCCAACAGCCTACTTTCCATCTCTATGAATCTGACTACTCTAGGTACCTGATGTAGGGGAAACGTACAGAATTTGTCCTTTTGTGACTGGCTTATTTTACTTAGCTTAAGGGACAAGGGACCCTTGTCCTCAAGAATCATCCGTGTTGTAGCACGTGTCAGAATTTCCTTCCTTTTTAAGGTTGACTATTCCATTGGAAACCACATTTTTTTTGAGATGAAGTCTCGCTCTGTGGCCCAGGCTGGAGTGCAATGGTGTGGTCTTGGCTTATTGCAACCTCCACCTTCCAGGTTCGAACAATTTTCCTGTCTCAGCCTCCTGAGTAGCTGGGACTACAAGGATGCGCCACCACACCAGGCTATTTTTTATATTTTTAGTAGAGACGGGGTTTCACCATGTTGGCCAGGCTGGTCTTGAACTCCTGACCTCAGGTGATCTACCTTCCTTGGCCCCTCAAATTGCTGGGATTACAGGTGTGAGCCGATGCGCCCAGTCTGCAGACCACATTTTGTTTGTTTATCCATTCCACCTCTTGGACACCCAGGTTGTTTCTGCCTTTTGGCTATTATGAACAGGGAGCACTGCTGTACAAATACTTGTTCGAGACTCTGTTTTCAATTCTTTGGGGTGGATACCCAGAAGTGGAGTTGCTGGATCCGATGGTGATTCTATGTTCTATTTTTTGAGTAACTGTTACACTGTATCCCCCAGCAGTTGGATCATTTTGCACTCTCCTCTGCAATGCACAAGGTTTTCCATCTCTCCACATTTTCACCAACACTTGTTAATTTCTGTTTTTTTATAGTAGTCATCCTAATGGGTGTGAGGTTGTTTCATAAATGGGAGGAGCCTCCGTGTATCTATACGCAAACAGGAAAGATCCAGGAGCCAGAGAAATTGATGCTGAAGGAAAGAGACAGGAAACTCACTGAAGCAATGTCCTTGAGCCGGGAGAGATGCTAAGATCCCATGCAGAGGAGGAACCGTCCTCAGACCCAGTCGTGGCAAAGACCAGGGTTGTGGGCGCAGACGTGGGGTGAGAGGGGAGATGTGGTGGCGCACGCCTGAAGCATTCTCTCGTGTTTATTTTCTCAGTGAAATAGACAGCAAAGTAACCAACTGAATGTAAGGGTAGGGTGAGGACAGAGGCTTGGGGATAAAGTAGAAGACATGAAATAGTCAATCTAGAAGAGCAGGGCAAGGCGTGGTGGCTCTTGCCTGTAATCCCAGCACTTTGGGAAGCCAAGGTGGGAGGATCGCTTGAGCCCAGGAGTTTTAGGCTGTAGTGAGCTGTGATCCAGCCTGGGTCACAGAGTGATACTCAGTCTCAAACAAAAACCTCAATTAATCCTTTTATTTAAAAGATAAAATAGGCCAGGTGAGGTGGCTCACACATATAATCTCAGAACTTTAGGAGGCTGAGGTGATTACATCACCTGAGGTCAGGAGTTTGAGACCAGCCTGGCCAACATGGCGAAACCCCATCTCTACTAAAAATACAAAAATTAGCTGGGCGTGGTGGCAGGTGCCTATAATCCCAGCTACTCAGGAGGCTGAGGCAGGAGAATCGCTTGAACCCAGGAGGTGGAGGTTGCAGTGAGCCGAGATCGTGCCACTGCGCTCCAGCCTGGGTAACAGAGCAAGACTCTGTATAAAAAAAATTTAATTTAAAAGATAAATAGAAAGAGTGGGAGACTGAGTGAATGGAAGCTGGTAGGCTGGATAACCAGCGGTTGTCTTTGCCCCTGCAAAGACATTGATGTCTGAATTCCTGAAACCTTGCAAAATGCCAAGATGAGGAGAGTATCCTGGATTATCTGTGTAGTCCGCTATAATTACCGGTATCCCTATAATTGGGAGGCAGGGGGAGATGTGACTACCGAAGAGACTCCATTGCTATCTCTGAAGATGGACGAAGGGACCACAAGCCAAGGAATGCAGGTGACGCTGGAAGCTGAAGGCAAGGAATCGGATTCTCCCCTAAAACCTCCAAAAACAAATTTCCCATTTGAGCCTAGCAGGCCTGGCAACACCTTGATTTAATACTTCTGACTCCCAGAGCTGTAGAAGAATGAAATTGCATTGTTTTAAGTCACTGAGTTTGTATGGCTTGTTATAGTAGCAATAGGAACTAATATAGGGGGCATGTTGTCACTACTGGGAGGCACCAAGGACCCCCATAGAGTTTATTCTTTTTTTCTGTCCCCCAGGCTGGAGCGCAGTGGCAAGATCTCAGCCTACCGCATCTTCCACTTCCTGGGTTCAAGCAATCTTCCCACTTTAGCCTCCTGGGTAGCCGGGACTCCAGGTGTGCACCACCACACCCAGCTTAGTTTTTGTATTTTTTGTGGAGATAAGGTTTCACCATGTTGCCCAGGCTGGTCTTGAACTCCTGAGCTCAAGCAATCTGCCCACCTCAGCCTCCCACCTCCGTGCTGGGAAGACAGGCATGAGCCACCACCCCTGGCCAAGTTTAACGATCCTGAAATGAAAATGAGACCAGCCAGCATGGTGGAATGCCATCACCCTGCCCCATCCAGGTGCACAGGTGCAGGTGTGGCGCAGAGAGCTGGGTTCAACCACAGAGAGAACAAACCAGGAGAAAGTGGTGGGGGTGCACATGAGGGAGAAAATGTAACCAACAGCTGCAGGTGCCAGTGAGGGAGAAAGACAGGAGAAGGCAGGGGTGGGGGAAAGCGGGATCCTTGAAACTGAGATTAGGTGCAGTTTTCAGTAATGCCAGGGTCTGAGGTATTGGTCTGGCTACATCCCGAAGGCCACATCTGCCACTTCTTTTATGTCCTGTGCACAGCTGTTTTCACACTGCAACTGCATAGCTGAGTCATTGTTGCAGAAACTATAAGGCCTGCCAAGTGTCAAATATTTACCGTGGTCAGGGGCAGTGGCTCATGCCTGTAATCCCAGCACTTTAGGAGGCCAGGGCGGGCAGATCACTTGAGTCCAGGAGTTCAAGACCAGCCTGGGCAACATAGGGAAACCCCAAAAAATTCGAAATTAAAAAAATAAAAATAAAAATGTAGCTGGGCACAGTGCTCCATGTCTGTAGTCCCAGCTACTCAGGAGGCTGAGACAGGAGGTCAGGGCTGCAGTGAGCCATGATTTCAGCTTGGTGACAGAGTGAGACCTTGTCTCAAAAAAATAAAAAATTTGCTCCCTGGCTGTGTATGGAATAAGTATGGGGAGCCTGGTCAAAGGCTGAGTGACTGAGACAGGGTGGAGAGGGGAGCTAGGAGCTAGGAGGCAGGGCGTTCCGTCATCCACAGATCCTGCAATCACCAAGAACGAAAATGGTCCCACTGAGGGAGGCACAGGAGCTGGAATGCTGATGGTGGCCCAGGGGGTCAATGGGACCAGTACACAGGCCAAGGTTTCTCTCCCCTCCAAGACTCTATTTATTTTGAGATGGACCCTCTCTCTCTGTCACCCAGGCTGGAGTGCAGTGACATGATCTCAGCTCACGCAACCTCTGCCTCTTGGGTTCAAGTGATTCTCGTGCCTCAGCCTCCTGAGTAGCTGGATTCCAGGGACATACCATCACATCTGGCTAGTTTTTTGTATTTTTAGTGGAGTCAGGGTTTCACCATGTTGGCCTGGCTATGGCCTTTAAGCTCGGAATCCCTTTTGCCTGATAGCTTCCCACAACTCTTGGTTCTGGAAAACTGCTGCTCATTCCTCAGGAGGAGGTCAAGGTCATCTCCAGAACCCTGTTCTGACCCCCTGCCTGGGTCCAGAGATGTCCTCTGTGCCCCCAAGAGCTCTGTACTGGTCTGAGCATCCCAGGGGCACCCACTTTCCCCAAGTGGGGTTCCCAGGAGGGCAGAGTCTGGCTACCTGGGCTGCTAGGGACCTGCAGATCTGCAGAAACCCCACCCTGGTCCCAAAGGCAGGCCCAGGAGACCGAGGGGAGGAGGGCATTAGACCAGCACACACTTGGAGCCCAGCTGTGCTGTCCTGAGCGGGAAGTTCTCTTATCGTTCACAGGCCTGAGGGGGTGGCCTTAACTGGGGTCCCTCTGTGGTCCAGTCACAACACGGGCTGGCCAGACCCCAGGGACCATGACCCATCTCCCATTACACAGGGGTGGCAGAGAAGCAGGACCACGGACAAACCCAAGCTGAGATCCCAGGCAGAGCCAGGGGTCGACGTGTAAAACAAACAAGTTTATTGATAAGCAGGAATGCTGTCCAGCATACAGTGCAAACTCTCATTGTCTCATCAACACACGCAAGGGAACTGAGGCTCCAGAGTCTCCAAATTCACCGCTGCCCGGCTCTGCCCGTGATGCCAAGGAAGCCCAAGGTTCTCTCAGGACTGTCCACCAGGGGGCAGGTGCACTCCATCGCATCCTCATGTGGGTCCAATGTGGGCAGAAAACTGGCCAGCCCCGGCAGTCTGATTTTTTTTTTCTTTAAGAGACAGGGTCTCACTGTTGTCCAGGCTGGAGTGTCGTGGCGTTATCATAGCTCACTGCAGCCTCAAACTCTCAGGCTCCAGTGATCCTCCCCTCAGCCTCCTGAGTAGCTGGGATTACAGGTTCGAGCCTCTGCAGCCAGACAGTCTGACATCTTGATTCCAGAGTGGAAAACCCTTCTTGTCTCCATGGTAATGGCTGGACTCTCCCACCCTCCAATAGTTCAGCTGCCAAGCTCAAGTCCAGTGGAATTTATCAGCAATTCACCCTGCCCTGCTCTTCTAGATAGACTCTTCCCTGCCTTCTCCTTTATCCCCATGCGCCTGAGACTGAGCCAGCCTTTCCAGGAGCCCCTCAACCTGCTTCCCCCCAGAATCTGGGTTAGGCTACCCTTGCTCCCCCTCTGCAGAGCCCTGGGCATGTGTTTGGGGAGGGGAGGGGGAAGGCTGACTCTAACGGGGTGGAATCCTGGCTTCAACGGCTTCAAGGTGGGCCATTCAATTTACCAACCTTGGCTATACACATTCACAACACACAACACAGACACAGACACAGGCTGACACTTGGGATTCACACTGGCCATGTACCAAAGTGGCGGGGCAGCCCCACTGGGGCAAGGGCGTTGGAGGTGGGGAGTGGGGAAGAGGAGCCCACCCCTCTGGAGGCAGGAGGAGGGTCTGGGCTGAGGTAGGAGAGATGGCTATGAGGACTCAGTCATCTCTAGTTCCTGAAGTTCCCTGAAATGAGATGGCGTGGCCGGGAACACCACGCCGGACAGCAAGGGAGGAGGGGTGGGGCTATGGGCACACTGGACGGAAGGCGGAGGGTGCGAACAGCAGGCGAGGGGCTGGATGTGGCTTTGTTCGTCGTTGGCTTGTTGGCCTGCGTGGTACTTCCTTTTTTACAAAATTGGCAGACTTCCAGTTAGAAGTGCGTTATTTTGCCCAGGCACGGCACTGAATATGGGGGCCTGCCTGGGCTCTCTGGGCATCTGACTTTCAGACAAGCTGGCATTTGGAGGTGGTGCTTCCTTTTGGAGGTGGGGGGGGGAACAGTCTTGCTCTGCTGCCCAGGCTGGAGTGCAGTGGCACAATCTCGGCTCCAGGGTTCAAGCAATTTTCCTGCCTCAGACTTCTGAGTAGCTGGGACTACAGGTGCCTGCCACCACACCCGGCTAATTTCTGTATTTTCAGTAGAGACAGGGTTTCACCATCTTCCATGTTGGTCTCAAACTCCCAACCTCAGGTGATCCACCACCTCAGCCTCCCAAAGTGCTGGGATCACAGGTGTGAGCCACTGCGTCCAGCCTGAGGTAATGCTTTCCAAGCCTTCTGAGCTAACCTGAAGGACCCCGTTCCCTACAGGGCTGCCACCTCCTCCCTGCACAGAGCCCTGGGACCGTCCTGCAGTCTCAGCATCAGGCCAAAGCACTGTCCTGTTTTCACGGATGATGCAGGCAGCATCCCTCCTCTCCAGAAAGCCCCTCTGCAGAGAAGGAAGCCAGAACTGGGTCAGAGCCCACAGGGAGAAACAAACAAACATACGAACAACCCAAGGGCTCCAGAAGCCAAGCTCGTAGGTCCAGTCGGGCAGGGCAGCTCACAGAGAGGCAGGGACTTGCCCCAGGGTGCCCTGAACGTCCACGCCCAGCCAGTCTTCCGAGAGGGACACACCGTGGCAGCAGAGGCTTTCCAAAGCTCGCTGCCTCTGCTCTCGGCCTGTAGGTTAGAGGGAGGCTGCAGCTGTGGAGGGTGCTAAAGGAACTTGGCCCCAGAAAGAGCCACGGAGTCCTAGTGGTGGGGGCCTGGAAGGACCAGGGTCCCTTCCCAGGGTCATCCTGCCAGGGCTTGGCCCGCCTTGGCTACGACGCAGCCCACACTAGCCTGGTTAACTAGGCTTCATCCCTGCATCGGGCACGCCGAGGGGCAGGGGCTTCTCTCCGGTGCTCTGCAGCAGGGTCTCTGGTGTCTCCAGCCGAGACCGAAAGGCGCACTCCTCCTTGGAGAAGGGGACCTTCTCGTCCTTTGGGGAGACCGAGGGGCTGGCATCTGTGTACCCCGTTGTGGCGCTGGCCTGGGAGGAGCACTGTGAGCTGTGGTCGGAACCGCTACAGACGTTCACGATGCAGGTGACATTGACCTGGGTCCCATGGCCACCAGTGGGAGAATCTGCTAAGCACAAGATGGGGCAGGGGTCAGTCCAGGGCTCTCAGAGAAGGGGATGTCTCTGGGACCGCTGCCCAAGATGCAGATTCAGACACGTGGAAAAGAGCATTGGGCCAGGAGCCAAGAGACGGAGAATGCAGCCCAGCTCTGCTGAGTGACCTTCAGCAAGTCACTTCACCTGCATGCACCTCATTTTTCCCTCTGCTGAATGAGAATAGCATCACCACCTACCCAGCCCCAATCACCCCAGAGTTGGAAGGAGCCAATGATATAAGACAGATGTCTACTTGGGAGGCCAAGGCAGTAGGATTGCTTGAACCCAGGAGTTCAAGACCAGCCTGGGCAGCATAGTGAGAGCCTGTCTCTGTCTCTTTATTTATTGATTGGTTTTTGTCTTTTTGTCAGTGAATCTTTATTTTTTAAGACTGGGTCTCAAAAGAGTGCAGTGTCACTCTCTAGACTCACTGCGACCTCTGCCTCCTGGCCTCAAGTGATCCTCCCACCTTAGCCTCCTGAGTAGTTGGGACTACAGGCCACCACACCCTTCCAATTTTTTGTAGACATGGGATTTTGCCAGGTTGCCTGGGCTGATCTCAAACACCTGACCTCAAGGAATCTTCCTGCCTCGGCCTCCCAAAGTGCTGAGATTACAGGTGTGAGCCACCGTGCCCAGCCTCAGACTTAACTCGGGTTGTACTCCATCTCCCATCCAACCCGCTCCTCCTCGTCTTGGGGCTCACTGCTGCCATCCACCCAGCTGCTCGGGTCCAGAGCCTCAGACCCATTTTTCTCTCATACCCCACAACCAACAGTCATTCCTGCCTGTCTCCCTTCAAAAGATGACTTCTGGGCCAGGTTCAGTGGCTCAGGCCTGTAATCCCAGCACTTTGGGAGGCCAACGCGGGTGGATCACTTGAGGTCAGGAGTTTCAGCCCAGCCTGGCCAACATGGTGAAACCCCATCTCTACTGAAAATACAAAAATAAAAAAGTAGCCGAGCATGGTGGCAGGTGCCTATAATCCCAGCTACTCAGGAGGCTGAGGCAGGAGAATGCTTGAAGCTGAGATGTGGAGGTTGCGGTGAACGGAGATAGTGCCACTTCACTCCAGCCTGAGTGACAGCCAGACTCTATCTCAAAAAAACAAAAAAGAACAAAAACAAAGCCAAGATGACTTCTGCAAGGGCCACCCTGCCTCACTGCTGCATGGTGCAGGGAGCTATGGAAGCCTCCAGCCGCTCCCACCTGGACGGGTGTGAACAGCCTCCACCTGTCCTGGCTTCGGCCCCACCCCTCTGAAGTCTGTTCCCCACCAGCAGCCAGAGCTGGCCCTGGAACTTGGCAGATCACTTCCTTGGTGGCTCAAAAACCCACAGTCCTTGCCACAGCCTACCAGGCCCTGCCTGATCTGGAGTCTGCCTTCTTCCGCCCCCTCTCCTGCTGCTCCAAGACCTTGATGGGGTTCCTTCCAGCCACACTTGCCCCCCTACAGCCCCTTGAGCCCTTCAGGTCCCCTGGGCCTTTGCACAGACTGCTCCCTCAGCCTAGAGACCTCTTCTCTAGTGCTCAAGCCTTAGCTCAAAGGCCACTTCCTCCACGAAGCCTCCCCCCTTGCCCCCGGCCTCCCTCTCTAGAGACACGTACTTCCCATCCTATCTACCACTCTCTGGGTCCCTCCCCATTTCTGTGATCTCCAGGGCCCCCAACTCCCGGGGTCCCCACCAGACTCTGAGCCCTGGCGGGTAGGGACTTTTTTTCCTTTTTTTAAAATAGAGACAGAGGTCTTGCTATGTTGCCCAGGCTAGTCTCACACTCCTGGGCTCAGGTGATCCTCCCGCCTTGGCCTCCTGAAGTGCTGGGATTACAGGCATGAGCCACCTTTCCTGGCGAGGCCAGGGACTTTTTGACCATTTCCTGCTGTGCTTCTACGGGTATGTTTTGTTCTTGGTGATGCTTTTAAGTGAATTGATTGCCAACATTTAAAATTCAGGCATACATTTAAAAATCTGGATCTCTGGCTTCCCTTGGGAGGCACGTGCAGGAGATCCAGCCAAGGAGAGTCCAAGGTTTGCCTCACCTTCCCGTCCAGGCCCCGTGGGCAGCTGAGTTTTCTGACTGGCTGGGGAGACGCTGGAGGGTGGATTTGCAGAGATGAATGGAGATGAATGTGAGGGCCCTGGCACACAGTAGCCCCCTCAGAAAATGAGAGTTGCTGCTGCTGCAGGGACCTGCTGGGTGCCCTCACCCCAGCCTGCTTCCCACTAACTCCAACTACCTGGGAGCTGGGGAGGCAGATGGAGATGGAGACCTGCTGTGCTCAAAACAGCCCCGGGAGGTGGTGGGGAGGAGGGCTGAAATCACAGGCCCGGAAGGAAATTTCCACCCTGAGCCTCCACAGTACCCAAATGTCACTTAAGTCACCATGGCCTTTGCACATCGAGCATGAGACATTGCGGGGGTGGATGGGGGACCACAAAGGGGCACAGCCCTGGACTTTACAGGTTCCCACAGTGAAGGCAGGTGTGAGGGCTGGGAGGGAGAGAAGGAGAGGGCGGAGGCCAGGGAGACAGGTTGGGGGACTCGGGAGAAGGAGCACAGAGCAGAAGAGGCAGAGGGAACAGGGGAGAGCACACGTTGTCAGGGCTCCACCCTGGGCCACACCAGGTGTTGCTAAGAAATCAGAAAGATGGGCCGGACACAGGTGGCTCATGCCTGTCATCCCAGCACTTTGGAAAGCCAAGGCAGGCAGATCACCTGAGGTCAGGATTTAGAGACCAGTCTGGCCAACTGGTGAAACCCCGTCTCTACTAAAAATAGAAAAATTAGCTGGGCATGGTGGTGCGTGCCTATAATCCCAGCTACTTGAGAGGCTGCAGTGGGGGGATCACTTGTACCCAGGAGGTGGAGGCTGCAGTGAGCAGAGAAGTAAGCCAAGACTGCACCACTGCACTCCAACCTGGGTAACAAGGGAGACTCCATCTCAAAAAAAAAAAAAAAGAAAAAAAATCTGGCCGGGCACAGTGGCTCATGCCTGTAATCCCAGCATTTTGGGAGGCCGAGGCAGATGGATCACCAGGTCAGGAGATCAAATCCATCCTGGCCAAAATGGTGAAACCCCGTCTCTCCTAAAAATACAAAAATTAGCTGGGCATGGTGGCTCATGCCTGTTATCCCAGCTATTTGGGAGGCTAAGGCATTAGAATCGCTTGAACCCAGGAGGCAGAGGTTGCAGTGAGCCGAGATCACACCACTGCACTCCAGCCTGGTGACAGAGCGAGACTCCATCTCAAAAAAAAAAAAAAAAAAAAAATCAGATGAATCCAAGAACTGGACAAAGACTAAGAGTTTATATTTGGAGTGCATTCATTCATTCATTCATTCAGCAATGTTTAGGGCCCCTGCTCCAGGCACTGGCCCAGGGCCTCCCACAGGGAGTTCTCAGGCTGGAGTGAGGCGCACTGATGAGACATCCCACCGAGGAGGCTGGGGCTATGATGGGGCACACCGAAATGGGCACATCAGCTCCTGTGGGCAGTTGGGGACAGGTAGGAACAGGTGTTGCAGGCAGGGCATCAGGAGTGCAGGCAAGAGGCAGGGGTGTGGTGAGCTAGGGAGCAGCCAGGGGTGGGTGAGCTGGAGGAGGGCTGTGGGGTGGGGGCTGCAGCCATCAGTCCCCACCTGGAGGCGGCCCAGAGGGAGCCTGGCCCTAGTCTGGTACCCAGCTGGGCACAATGTCACTCATCTCTCACTAGCCCTGCAAGGAGGCAACACAGCTCACCTCTAGGGGAGGAAACGGAGGCTTGGCAGGGTTAAGCATTCTGCCCAAATTCTTATGGCACCAGCGTGGCTGGGCAGGGAGCTGAGAATGACCCAAGGTCATGGTTGTTCCCTGAATTCTCACTACTTGGTGCTGCCAGGTAAGAGGGAGAGAGAGGCACAGCCCAGTAGACCCCGTACAGGGGGCCCCTCCAGTGTGGGCCCGAGATATGCCAACTAGGAGTGACATCTGTCATAGACCAGGTCCAAGGCAAAATGCAGCCTGCAGAAAGTGGACATGGTCCCCACAATCCCGGTGCCTCAGACCCAAAGGGACTCAACAGCAAGCTGCAGTGAGTGGAACCCTGCGGCCATCATTTCTTCATTCATCTTCCAACCCCAGGGCTCCAGAGCCCCACAGCCTAGGGGTGAGTCTGGCTCTGCTGTTTATTAGCCGTGTGCCCTTGAAGAAGCTGTTTAACCTCTCTGGGCCTCAGTTTCCTCATCTGTGAAATGGGGATAACAACAATATCTCTTAGCATTGACACGAAGGTCAATGTTATGCATGTAAAGCACCCGGTATAGTGCCTGCTGTACCGCAGCCTTCAGTGAGCAGAAGCGATTAAGATTAATTACTAGTAGCTGGGCCGTGTTGGGCCTGCGGATGCAGGGATGAATGAGATAATCCAGGCTCACCAGGTGTCCCACAGCCTGGCGAGGGAGACGGGGAGGAGAGTGTCTGTACACACAGTCTGATAGTTCGTCAAAGGGAGTCCAGGGTGTGGTGAGCCCGGAGGAGCAGCCAGTCCAGCTGGGGGTGGTGGCGGGGAGGAAGTTTCAGGAAAACTCCTCTCCCAGATACTGGGGATGGACAGGCTGGGATTGTCCCACAGAAGGGAGGATGTTCTGATGATGGGCCCAGCCTGGGCAAAGGCGGGAGGGAACTTGGGGTCAGCAAACTGAAGACAGCTCCCTGTGGCTCAGGCCTCGTCCCACCCTGCGGGGAGACTCAGGAGGAGATGGCTAAGACAGAAACTAGGTGAGAAAGACCAAGGAGGCTTGGAATGAAGCCGGGTGTGCTCCCATCTCTTACCTGAGCTCCCGGTGCTGGCCGGGGCCTCCCCGGCTCCGCTGGCCCTCCCCACGCCTTCTGGCTGTGGCTGGTTCTGGGTAGGCGCCCTCCTGTCCGAAGCACTGGCTGAGCTCTCCAGGGAGCTGCTGCTGGAGCTCGGCGCTGTGGTCAGCAGGTGCTGCTGCTCAGGGCCCTGGGCACCCCTGGCCTTATCAGAAGGCAGGTGAGGCTGGATGGTGGGGGTAGCAGGGGAGAGTGGTCAGCCCATCAGCCAGTTCCTTCTTCCCCTCCTCCTTCCCACTGCCATCTACACCTCTTTCCCCAGCACTTCAGAGTTTACATGACACTTCTGCACATTCTTTCCACACACGGCGCTTTTTGGGAAGTGTGACTCTCTGTGGTTTCTGTGTTTCTGTTATTAGCACCTAGCTGCTCTACTGGAGTGAGTGCCTTATGAGGGCAGAGACCACCTGGCCCTGTTCACCAAATCGTCTTAGAAGTGGGGCACGATTTTCATCCTCATTTTGCCTAAGAGAATAGAAGGAAAGCAACTTTCCTTCACCCCATCTGCACAGGGAGACAAGGCCCAGCCTAGCAACCAAGAGTGTGGACTCTAAACCCAGACCACACAAGTACAAATCATGACTCTACCACTCACTTGCTGTGTGACCTTGGACAAGTTATGTAACCCCTCTGTGCCTCTTTTTTTTCTTCAAAATTTTGATTCCTAACTCCTCCCAAATCTTTTTTATTTTTTTTTTAATCTATAAAGGGAGAATAACAACAACCTACTTCATAGGGTTGTTTTGAAGATTAGATGGCTGAATATTTGCAAAGTGCTTAAAACAATGCCTATTACATAGTAAACTCCATAGAAGAGTTTGTTAAATCAGAAGTAGGCAAATGACTGCCCAGGAGCCCAGTCCAGCCTGCCACTAAGAATGGTTTTCACATTTTTTTTTTTTTTTGAGACAGGGTCTCACCCTGTTGTTCAGGCAGGAATGCAGTGGCACAATCATAGCTGACTATAGCCCTCAATTTTCCAGGCTCAAGTGATCCTCCTGCCTCAACCTCCTGAGTAGCTGAGACCACAGGCACGTGCCACTGCTCCTGGCTGACTTTTTGTTGTTGATTGTTCGTAGAGACAGGGCCACACTACGTTGCCCAGGCTGGTCTTGAACTCCTGGGCTCAAGCCTTCCTCCCACCTCGGCCTCCCAAAGTGCTAGGATCACAGGCGTGCACCACCACACCCCATTGGTTTTCACGTTTTAAATGGTTGAAGAAAAAGGTTTAAGAATAATTTGTGGCTGGGCACAGTGGCTCACGCCTGTGATCCCAACACTTTGGGAGACCAAGGCAGATGGATCACGAGGCCAGGAGTTCGAGACCAGCCTGGCCAATGTGGCGAAACCCCGTCTCTACTAAAAGTACAAAAATTAAGCAGGTGTGGTGGTGCGCACCTTGTAGTCCCAGCTACTTGGGAAGCTGAGGCAGGAGAATTGCTTGACGCCAGGAGGTGGAGTTGGCAGTAAGCCGAGATTGCGCCACCATACTCCAGCCTGGGAGACAGAGAGAGACTCTGTCTAAAAATAATAATAATAATAATTTGTGACACATAGAAAGTTTGGGTGTCCAGCAGCACAGTTAGATCGGGACGCGCCACTCTGACGCTGGCATGTGCTGTCTGTGCTGCGGCTGCTTTCCTGCTACAGAGGCGGGTTTGAGTCGTTGGCACTGAGACCGGACAGGTCACAAACCCTAAAATTTCTCCCATTTGGCCCAAACAGAGTGAGAGTGCAGACCCTTCTGCTCGGTCGCTCCAGGGCAGAGAGCTCTCGCATTTGAGACCCTCTGCTGCACTGCCTCAGCCTCCCGTTCCAGAGTCGCTCACAGGCTGCTTTGAGACTTCCCCTAATGTCTTCTCCCCACAGAATAATCATAATATTAGCTGACATTTGAGCGCCACCCAATGCCATGCACTGTACCTAAGTCCCTCCAGATACTATCTATATGGATTCTTCCAACAGCCCGGTGTTATCACTGCTTTGTGGAAACTGAGGCACAGAGCGGTTGAGTTACTTGCCCAGGGTCATGGCGAGGACACACTATGGCTGGGCTAAATCCCACAGTGCCTTTCCTTGGTGTCTGGGCTTTCAGCTCTGGAGGCTCAAGGCAAGGTCCCCATTTCCAGACGCCCACACTGGAGAGAGGCTGGAAACTCCTCTCCCAGGCTGTTGTCTATTCCCAGTGACTGGCCAGGCGCTCGTGCCCTTGCCTGGGAGTTCTGGGAGACTGCCAATCCCGGCAAAAAAGGAGATGTCAGGGGCCATGCTCTCAATGGCTTCCCTGGCCCCTGGCCTGCCCAGGATGGAAACAAGGGTCCCAGGCAGCAAAAGGGTAGAGATGAGTGAAGGGCTGATGAGAGGAGAGGGAGGCGAGGGGGGTGGCGTTTGCTGCAGGGGTGGAGAGAGCAGCGCAGGCACCACAGTCCCCCAGGAAACGCTGGGGCCTCCTGCCTTCCTCCAGAGGGAGCTACCATTCCGGATGTGGTCTGAGAACAGATGTGAGTGCCAGGTCCCCTCTGCTCAATCACTGCAGCCCTGGCTCCCATGGCTTCTCCAACACCTGAGCGACACCTGAGCGCCGCCTGCACTCTCAGTTCCCGGAGGCCAGCCCGCAACCTCTTACTCGGGACTGGAGGGATCCTGTGCAGGCCACAGAGGCCCAGAGACAGTGAGCACCAAGCTCAGCATTACACGGCTGGTCCGTGGCAGGAGCAGGACCAACCCAGACCAGCTTCCCCAGGATCCCTGCACCCTCCCTAGGCTGAATTCCCAGTTTTGGAGACATTTCAAGTTCATGCTGAACCTCCACCCAGGTGGTCTGACCCTGGCCACTGCCCACGACCACCCCCCAGCCCTGCTCTGAGCCTGGAAGGGGAGGAGGAGCATCCAAGCGTCACTCCTCACAACCCCACAGAAGGGCTTTTTCCGGCCTGTGCCCCACCCCCTCTGCTGGTGGCTACAGCCAGGCAGAACAAAACTCCCCAAAGGTCACAGCCACCTCCCTCCTCCCAAGTGCAGAAGCTACCCACGCCCTGTTCCTTGGGCTGGGACCCCAAGAGGGCCAAGTACTAAGGAACCTCATTCAAAACACAGGATCTCAGCCAATCAGGCAGCACCCTCAGTGCCTAGCGGCTCCCGGCCCAGTCCCGCTGGGCAGAAGCAGAGACCCAGCAGAGCCATCGGCCAGGTCCTCCAGGTTCCTGCTGGGTCTGTCTGTCTGTGTTCACAAGGCGCACACACCTGTGTCTACAGGCGTGAGGGTGTGTGAAGCGTGCACACATGTGTCTATGTCAGGGGACATGTGTGCCTATCTGTGAGTGGTGTAGTGAGTGTCTGCCGGAGTGGCAAGGAGGGGCACTCTCATTAGCTGTGCCATACTGGGAAAATTACTCACTTCTCTGGGCCCATGGTTCCTGGGCCATATGGGGCGGGGAGCAAGAATCTTCTGCCTGCACATGGCAGCATGGCTGTGAGATAAGAATGAGCCAGGCGTGGTGGCTCACACCTGTAATCCCAGCACTTTGGAAGGCCGAGGCAGGCGGGTCACAAAGTCAAGAGATCCAGATCACCCTGGCCAACATGGTGAAACCCTGTCTCTACTAAAAATACAAAAATCAGCCGGGCATGGTGGCGCGTGCCTATAGTCCCAGCTACTCAGGAGGCTGAGGCAGGAGAATTGCTTGAAGCCAGGAGGCAGAGGTTGCAGTGAGCCAGGATCGTGCCACTGCACTCCAGCCTGGTGACAGAGCAAGACTCCGTCTAAAAAAAAAAAAGAGACAGAGAGAATACAGAACACTGGGCACAATGCCTGGCATCCGTTCAACACCTAATACATGTTGGTGCCTGTTATCAGACGTGGCCCGTGCATGAGTGTGTCCGTGGGGGTGACTGTGGTAAGCTCACCCGCTGGTGTTTTCTAAACAAAGAGACGCCACTGTCTCCCATGCCCTGGGTGTTCTTTCTGTGGCAGGAGGAGCAGGTGGGTGGGAGTCCACACTCTAAGCCCAGCAGCCCAGCTCCAGAGGACTCTCCACTGGCCTCTGAGCAGGACTAGCTGCTGGTTGAGGAGTAGCGTGGGACATGGGCATAAACCTGATTCAAACCTGGGCCATACCACTCACCTAATGATCTAATCCTACAGGAGAATCAGAACCTCCCTGAGTCTCAGTTTCCTCCTCTGTAAAATGGGGGTGATGATGCTCCCTGCCCCTCAGGGATGCGTGGGGACTCAGTGACAAAGAGCCTGGCAGGGCTCAGCCAGGATTATGCTGTGATGAGCCCAGGTCTGTGCACATCTCTTCCCAACTCCATATTCTGGAAGGTCTTGGGAGTTTGAAATTGGCCACAGTGGGGGTATTTATACCACAGAAATCAGCAAACACCACAACTTAGGGTTTGGGGTTTTTTTCTCACTAGACAGCTGTCATCAGCACACCACTGGGGTACTTAACAAATACTTGACTCACTCACATTCAGTGAACACTAAAAGGAACAGTGAAAGGAAAAGCGGCTGGATGCGGTGACTCACGCGTATCATCCCAGCACTTTGGGAGACCGAGGTGGGCAGATCACTTGAGGCCAGGAGTTTGAGATCAGCCATGGCAAAACCCTGTCTCTACTAAAAGTAGAAAAATTAGCCAGGCATGGTGGCGCATGCCGGTAGTCTCAGCTACTCGGGATGAGGCGGGGTGACCACTTGAACCTGGGAGGCGGAGGCTGCAGTGAGCCAAGATTGCGCCACTGCTCTCCAGCCTGGGTGACAGAGCTGTCTAAAAAAAAAAAAAAAAAAAAAAAAAAGGGAAAGGGGAAGCAGAGGCCACTGGGCCACACCCAGGACATCTTCAGTGCACAGAGGATTGAGAAATGCTTGGTGGGGAAAGGGAAGGAGGCAGCTGGCTGCTGTGGTAGAGCTTGGGGCAGACACCTGCTCTATGTGTGCCACCAGGTGGCAACCATCAGTGTCACTGAATTGAAGGGAGAAAGGGGGCAGTGAAATTCACTCTCCAGGGGAATGAGAAAGTTTGCTCCCCACTGAAATACTGCAGGGCAGGGCAGAGAGCCCTGGGATGGAGTCCAGAGACATTGCCATGCCACCTAGAGCAGCTCACTTTCCCTCTGCATCTCTCCTTGTCAGCAAAATCAGGGGATGAAATTAGCCTGTCTGATTTCAAACACCTTGTATAAATTTCAGGCATTGGGCCCCCAGGGCTGAGCTGTTCCCTCGAGCAGTGGTTCTCATCTGGGGGTGATTTTGCCCCCCAGGGGACACTTGACGATGTCTGGAGAATTTGTGGTTGTCACCACTGGAGTAGGAATGCGACTGGCATCTAAGCGAATAAAGGCCAAGGATGCTGCAGAACAGCCTGGGACAGGCCCCACAACTAAGTAAGATTCTTTGTTTGTTTATTTGAGACAGAGTCTTGCTCTATCGTCCAGTCTGGAATGCAGTGGCATGATCTCAGCAGCCTCCACCTCCGAAGTTCAAATGATTCTCCTGCCTCAGCCTCCCAAGTAGCTGGGTCTACAGGCGCCCACCACCATACCTGGCTAATTTTTGTGTTTTTAGTAGAGATGGGGTTTTACCATGATGGCTAGACTGGTCTTGAACTCCTGACCTCAAGTGATCCATCCACCTCAGCCTCCCGATGTGCTGGGATTATAGGCGTGAGCCACTGTGCCTGGCCCAAGATCTTTTTAAAAAATATTTAATTTAATTTTGTTTAGGGATAGGGTTTCACTGTGTTTCCCAGGCTGGTCTTGAACTCCTAGATTCAAACAATCCTCCTACTTTGGCATTCCTTAAGATCTTGTCTCAAATATCCATGAGGTTGAGAAACTTTTTCTCTACCTGCCCCTGGGGTAGAGAAAACTCACTAGACTCTGTTTTCTCATCTGTCAAATTGGGTAAAAAACCCGACCTGCCTATCAGGTGCAAGGCAGTGACAAACCCGTGTTCTGGCTCACCTCGAACCCACTTCCAACCCCTCTCCCTTGTCCTCCTCCTCCATGGAGGCTGGAAAAGCAAAGCACCCCCTTCCCCAGCTTCCCTTGCAGCTAGGGGTGGTCACATGACACAGTCTGGCCAGTGAGATGAAAGAAGTCTACCCGGGGCTTCAGGGAAGGGGTCTGATTTACTGATAAGGGCACCATAGCTGGCCTGGCCACCCTCTCCTTCTTTGCACCTCACACTTACAGTCACAGATGAAGTGATAATCACCATCTTATGACATGAGGCCACACACAAGAAAACAAAAGTCAACACACTAAAGATGACAGAGCCTGGGGTCCTGCTAGCTCCATGCGAGGGGACAATGGAAGCCATCCCAGCAGACACCAACCCCTTGACTTCTTAGAATGCAAGAGAAATAAAGTCCTTTTGCCTAAAGTCACCTGTAGGTTTAGGGTTACTTGCAGCCAAATGCCTTCCTAATGAAGAATGAATGAAATCAGATGATATGACATTATTGGTCTGTCTCTTATAAAAAGCCTTCACAGACCCTACTTTATAAAAACAGATCAAAGGTGAGCTGCTTTGGGAGGACCCAGGACCCAGCCACACAACCTCTACCTCAAACCTGAGAGAGGACCACGTCCCCCATGCCCAAGGGCCCTCTGTGGGACACCGGGCCACCCCAGAATTCAGTTTGAAAACCACTGCTGTCTGAGAAAGTGCTCTGTACACATTGGAGGCAATGAGAAACATCATTGTCAGCTGACCGAATGCCACCGCCCTGCAAGCTGGATCGAGCAGGCACAACCCCCATGTCACGGTAAGGAAGTAGCCATAGAGCAATTTCACAACCGTTCAAGGTTACACTGTGGGTTCGCCACCACGTGCCTGCCATGAACGCCACGGAGGCCTCTGCTCTCTGCCGGGGCATTTCACATTCACAGTCTCTGTTAGCCCATGGAGGGCTGCCTGACTCCCCAGTCTTAACGCCGGCTCCCAGGGCTCTGCCCACCTCCTGACACTGGACAGACCAATGACAGAATCCACTACTTCCTCTGTAACAGCCCAGCCCACCAGGAAGGAGACCCAGGGAAGAGGAGGGAGAGGGCAGTGGAGACACTCACCACCTTGGCTTCTCTCTGCAGGCAGGAGGGCTTCTCTATAAAGGGGAGAAGGGGACAAGTAAGGGAGAGTGACTTCCTCAGGCACATCTGTCCTAAGTAGGAGGGCAGAGTGGGGCCCAACAGAACCAGCAGAGGGGCCCGGCCCTGCAGGGAGCAATTGCCTGCCAGACAAGGTCCACAGATGCCCCCGCCCAACTCTACCCACCACCATCCCAGCCACTCTCCAACCCCCACCTGTGCCATCCACACTTCCACTGAGGATGCACATCCTTTCCTGCGCAGACTCCACCCATCGAGATCTTACCCAGCTCAGAGGCCCCAGGCTTCCTGGAGAGGAATCCTGAATCCCCTAGGTTTCCTGGAGAGGAATCCCAAATCCCCCACACTTCTTGGAGAGGAATCCGGAATCCCCCACGCTTCCTGGAGAGGAATCCTGAACTCCAACTCTTTGAAAAACCCTGATCACCTCTTGCCTTTATTAATTAAGTTAGCAGAGGTGCCTTCTACCCCAGGCCCTAAGCTCCTACAGAACAAGGACTCCCATGTCCACCTCTGCCTGACCCCTAAGGCTATGCCTGGTATTGGACTCACAGTACGCACCCCACCAAAGCTTCCTGAACAAGTGGATGAAGGAAGGAAGGATGGACTCTTACTTTTCACCTGGGTCATGATAACACAGTTCACCACTCCTATTATTAGTAGACCCAAGGCTGTCACACCCACGATCAGTCCTAGAAAGAAATGAGAAGCTCAGACAGCTACAAAAAACAAACTCAAACATACCAGGGGCCAGGCAGGTAAGTCAGGAGCCCCCAAGGTGGTTCAGGTCATTGCAAGTGAGGGGCAAGTCTAGGCTGGAGGTTCTTAAATCCAGTTACAGAGCAATCATGTCTGTGGGCCTCATTCAGCCTCAGGGCCACCATTTTGAGACCCCTGACCTGATGCAGTTCTAACCCCAGAAAGGAAGCCCCGGCGGTGACCTGGCCCAGCCCAGTCTCCTCCGCCTAAGGGGCTCATCAGAAATAGCAGCAAATTCAGGTGAATTGCTGACCCCATCTCTCCCCAATCCAAGGATTTATTTTATTTTTCTCCTTTTTAGAGATAGGGCCTCACTGGTCACCCAGGCTGGAGTGCAGTGGCATAATCATAGCTGAATGCAGCCTCAAATTCCTGGGTTCATGGGATCCTCCCACCTCAGCCCCCTGAGTAGCTGGGACAACAGGCACCAACTCACCCAAATAACTTTTTAATTTTTTTATAGAAATGGGGTCTCGCTATGTTATCCAGGCTGATATCAAACCCTCGGCCTGCCAAAGCACTGGGATTACAGGTGCGAGCCACTGCGCCCAGCCCGCCCACTTAGGGATTTTGAATGATAGCACCAGGTGTTGGGGTTAAAGCAGTCTCACTGCCACCTGTATCCTATCCCAGGGCAGGGCACCAGGTCCAGCTCACAGTGGGCTCTCAGTAAAACTAGGGGAAAGAAGAGAAAGAAAAGAAAGAAAAAAGAAAAGAAGGAAGGAAGGAAGGAAGGAAGGAAGGAAGGAAGGAAGGAAGGAAGGAAGGAAGGAAGGAAGGAAAAGAAAGACAAGCAGACAGGAAAAAAAGGAGTGAATGAATGAGCTTTCTCGTGACTTACCAACTGGAAGAGAGATGTCGCCAGTGCTCTCTTTAGCTGGGGGGCTGGGGCCCATCGGGATCCGGAAGGAGGTACTTGGAGCCATGCTGGGCCCTGGAGTTGGCTTTGTGTTCGGGGATCGTGTGGACACTGGCTGCTGTGGGTGTGCCGGGCCTGGGGCCGTGCTCTGGGTGAGGGACTCCGACAGGCAGACTGCATCCATGCTTGCATTCCCAGGGATGGCCACGAGGTTACATCTGCGGGAGGAGGAGGCTTGGTCAGGAGGCAGCAGAGGACAGAGTGGCTCCGTGGCTGGGCTCATTCACAGGACCCGGCAGGCAGGATAGGAGACTGACTCGGAGACACCGCTTCCTCTCCCTCCTCCACCTCCCTATGCATCCTGCCTTCCAGGGCAAGGCTGTGGCTCTGTGTCCAGGACCCACAGTCACCCACGGACAGCCCCTCCCTGCTCCTCCCGAACCAAAGGACTCAGCTACTCACCTCTGGTGGGGCCTGCAAATATCTGTGGATGAAGTCGTGCTGGAGAAAGTCCCTGGGGCGCAGGGCTTGCACACCACGTCTGATTTTTCAGTTCCTTCGGGGAACAATTGGAACTTGTCAAAAACTCTGTGGGACAGCTGGGCCTTGGCATTAGAGCCCTAGGAGAGGTCTAAGAGGCCCAAGGACCTCTGTCTGCACCTCTGCTCCTTACACACACACACACGCCTGTACACACATGCACGAGACTGGCGTGTAGAGTTGTGAGTTCATCTTCCTGCAGCATCACCTAACTTTCCAGTAGCTTAGGGCTTGGTCTCATTCATATCTGGGTCCCCTGGGCCCAGTACACAAGAGGTGCTAATCAGGAGTGCTGGCAGGAAGAACAAACGGTAGTCAGACAGATGGGTAGCCAGCACCTGGCCACCACGGACAGTGTCCCCAGCTGGACTAAGGAATGGGCGGACGCCCATGACACAGCAGGGATGTCTACAAAGGAGAGGCCCCAGGGCATCCCCAAGGACCGTGAGCCCCACCCCGTACCTGGTTTGGCCACGCCGAAGCCCGGGCCGCACTTGCGCAGCGGCGAGCACAGCCGGCACCCCTCTTTCTTGCCCAGTGCGCAGTACCAGCCAGGCATGCAGGCGCAGATGCGGTTCTGTTGCTGAGTGCAGGCTTGAGTTTCCACCTGGTCTAGAGGAGTAAGAGGGCAGCCCACAGTCATGCCTGCCTCTGTCACATCCACGCTGCCCTCCCAGCCAGCCCAGCACCCCCCGGACAGCGCTGATCTCCAGGAGGCTGGCAGACCGCCTCAGCATGGGGCACACACAACACCGTCCAGAGTCCCGGAGAAGAACCCGCAGCCCTGCTCCTCCCGGCACGAGCATGCACACCACTCTCCCACGTACCGCCTCCTCAACCCTCACGTGGGCACGGCTCTCCCACTGCCTGCCCCATGGGGCTGCGAAGAGGCTTTGGTGAGACAGAAGAGGAAAATACCAGAGGTAGGGGTAAACAGCTGCTCCTGTGCCACTTCCAACAGCCAGCCTGGGCTAACTCCAGGCAGCTGGAAGCCAGAGGCTGGAGCTGGGGGAGGGGATGCTGGAGGCGGGGGTGCAAGGGCCCCTCTCTCTGAACCTACTCACCAGAGCTACAGGGAGAGCCGCAGCTCAAGCACTCGGGAAGCCAGTTCCAGAGCTCAGTGTATGTGCTGTTCTCGCAGAAGTCACACACAGTGTCTGAAGTCCTGGTACAGAAGACTTTTGCATGTTGGCCTAAGGAAACAAGGGCCAGAGGTCTCAGCGGGGTGGGCTCTGCCGGGACTCCGGGCTCATTCACTGTCCCCACAAAGTCCAGAGTTCTGAAGCCTAGCTGGGAAGGCTATTCTGTGGAGTTCCAATTCCTCGGAATCATCCCCCATCTAGTATTGCACCAGCTATCATGCCATTTCTGAACCCCTTCTGCTCAAAAACACATTCCTCTCTGCTCTTTCCAGATGCTTGAACCTCCACCACTGCAGGCCTATTATCAGCCAATCACACTTTATTAAGAACTAGGTTGCCAGTTTCTTCCTTCTTGAGAGATGGCTAACATTCTCTACCTAAGAGCATGAATGACAGCTAGAACAGGTAATAAGAATGTAGTCCCTTGAATCCTACCAAGGAAAAGGACATGGGCCTGGAGAGAAGGCATGCCAGGGATGGGGACACACCGAGGGAAACCTTTAAAAAAAGTTGACTCAGTAACTTCTTTTTTTTTTCTTTAGACAGAATCTCGCTCTGTGGCCCAAGCTAGAGTGCAGCTCACTGCAACCTCCACCTCTCAGGTTCAAGCAATTCTCCTGCTTCAGCCTCCTGAGTACCTGGGATAACAGGCACCTGCCGCCTCACCCAGCTAATTTTTGTATTTTTAGTAGAGATGGGGTTTTACCAAGTTGGCAAGGCTGGTCTCAAACTCCTGGACTCCAGAGATCCACCCTCCTCAGCCTCTCTAGTAACTTCTTAATAAAGAGACCCTTCCAGTTAATAGAAGAAAGAAGAGTCACTTTCCCTGTGGTGTCTTAAGACGGCTGTGGATGGCGACAGGTGCTCATATGCCCACCTACATCTCAAGGTAATGGCTCAGAGCCCCCCATTGGCTCCCAGAGAGAATAAAATCTCAACTCCTTCCCATGGTCCCTGCTCACTTCCTCCTCCTCCTCACCTACCGTACTCGGCCTCCCTCATCCTGGGCCACACACGCTGGCCCTGCTGTTCCTCAAGCTCACCAAACAGGCTCCGACTTCAAGGCCTTCGCACATGCTGTTGCTTCCTCCTGGCACACTGTTCCCTGTACATGTGTATGACCTGCCCTTCACCTCCTACAGGGCCCTGCCCAAATGTCACCTCCTCAGAGAGACCTTCCCAGACCACCCTGTGTAAAACAAGATGTCCCGCTCTGTCTCCCCCGCCTTACCTGACCTTGTCTTTCTACAGCACGTACAGACAGACGGGACTATACATCTCCTAATGTATCTGTCTGCGTCCTCCATTAAAATGCAGACCCCATGAGGGCAAGGGTTTTGTCTGCCCTGTGCTCTGTGTATTCCCAGGACTTAGAACACACAGCAGGTGCCGTATAAACAGGACATGAATGAATGCAGAAACAAATAAATGGATGGAGGGCACTGGGAGTCAGGCTAACTGGCCTGACCATGGCTGGGCCTCAGGTCTACCATCTGTGAAATGGGTAGGCATTCACAGAGTCAGTCAAATATGCGCCAAGTGCCTACATGGCATTGGGCCACCTGCTGTGGATTCAGGAGAAAACAAGCCACAATCCCTGCCCTGGAGGGAACCTGCAGTGGGGGCAACAGGAAGAGGGACCGGGCTATAATCACACAGCAAGGAAAGAACTGCCATGGGAACATCGGGGGCCAGGGAGAGCTCAAAGGAGGCAGCACTTGTCTTTCAAGCTGAGTGCTGTGCTGCCACCTCCAGGAAGCCCTCCCTGACTCCCCCAGGACTATTTTGGGCTCCTCCTCCTTCTCCTCCTCCAGCTCGGCAATGTGGGGCAGGCAGCCTTCCTGGAAGAGGGGACATCTTCAGCTGAGGTCTAAAGGACAGAGTTAATCAGTGAAAGGGAGTTGGAAAGTATGCCAGGGAGAGTTCACAGGCCCAGAAGCAACAAGGAGCACGGGCCAGTGCATAGAACTCGGAGCTCAGTACGAATCAAGGGCCACGCCTCTGTGCCCCAGCCCCTGTACACACACACTCCTCCAGGGCACGGCCTCGGGCCCCTAGCAGCTGCTCTCACCCGCCGGACACTGGCTGCAGCACCTCTGAACTGTCTGGTGATAGTATTCGTTGATCTTGCACATGCTCCCGGGCTTTGGGGTATAGGGTGTAAATGTCACCTGGAAGGAAGAAGGGAAGACCGCCATCAACAGGGCCACCCCTGAGTTCCGCCGTGCCTGATGCCCAGGTCCCTGCCCTGCAAATGTTTGACCCTCCCCCTGCCAGGCTGCACTGATGACGATGGGGAGGTTTCTCCCTCTGGAGCAGGATAGGGGAAGAAGAGTTTGTGGCTTCTTTTACCTCCCCTGTGTCCCCGCCTCCGTGCAGCATACTCGTGTCTGCAGGCAGAGGCGCTGAGTCTGCTGGTCAGAGGGCGGGGCCGTCTTCAGATCTTCTCCAGTGCTGGGTGACCCCTAACACTACGTGGGGCAGATGTCCAGAAGACAGTGGTCACAGAGAACCAGAGTCCTGAGCACAAGCCACCCTCCGCCAAGGATGCCTCCCCTTTCCTCCCTCACCAGAAACAACCCTTTGTCATTCAAGCTGAGTGCTGCCTCCTCCGGGAAGCCCTCCCTACTTCCCCCAGGCTAATTCAAGCTCCTCCTCCTTCTCTGGGCTCTCTTTAAATGTGGGAATATGACCCCTCTACCAGTCATCTCATTGTTCTGGAACGGTTACTTGCTTGGCCTTCCACCCCCTGTGGGTATGTATGCACACACACATGTACACACGCACTCGTGCAGACAGCAGAGGTGGCAGTCTTGTCATCTTCTAGACCCTCAACTTCTCACAGGGGACCCACCACAGAGCTGGTACTCATTAAATGAATGTTGATGACCGTGACAATTGTTTCCAGGCACTGTTCTAAGTGCTTCGGCTGCTCGAGTTGGTGGGTGCTGTTGCAACCCTCTCAGACCCCTTCTGCCAGCAGGGCACCCCTCCCCCAGCTGCTGCAGGTATTGGCTGATAATGAATCCTCCACAATCTCAAAGTGGGACCCACCCTAGTACAATTCATGGTCCAGAGCCACCCCCGTGGTGTCAGGCTGAAGCTGGTGACAACACCCCTGCTAGACCCCCTCCCCTGCCCTGTCCTGCCTGCCTTCCTGGGAGCCTTCCCTAGTAAATCACTTTCACAAAGATCCCTGCCTCGGGCTCTGCTTCTGAAAGACCCTACCTGAGACAGGTGTGTGGTCTCAGCAAGAGTTTCCAACCACCCAATGAAGACGGAGACGGTTTCCCTACTGCAGCCATTTTACAGAACAGGAAACCGAGGCCTGAGAGGACAGGTCACCTGGCCAAGGTCCCACAGCCAGTAAGTGACAGAGGAGGGTTTGGATCTGTGTCCTGCCTGACTTCACAGCTCACAATCTCAACCACTGTGCTGGATGCCTCCGTGAAGAGATGAACAATGTGACGAACGAAAAGACAACGGGGCGCGGTGGCTCACGCCTGTAATCCCAGCACTTTGGGAGACTGAAGCAGGCGGATCATTTAAGGTCAGGAGTTCAAGACCAGCCTGGCCAACATGGCAAAACCCTGCCTCTACTAAAAATACCAAATTATCCGGGCATGATGGTGATTGCCTGTAATCCCAACTAATCTGGAGGCTGAGGCAGGAGAATCCCTTGAACCTGGGAGGAGGAGTTATAGTGAGCTGAGATATCACTACTGCACTCCAGCCTAGTTGACAGAGTGAAACTCCGTCTCAAAAAAAAAAAAAAAGAGGGAGAAAAGAGAAAAGCAAACCTGCCCAGAGAAGCTGCAGCCCTGGGCAGAGGGGCAGACACAGAACCCTCCTCCCTCGGGTCTCTGAGTGACCCTCTGGGAGTGCAGGGTGGCAGCAATGTCCACTGTGCCTTCCCAGGACCCCTGGCAACAAACCCCTGCGTCCTGCCTTCTCTCCTGAAAGATTGGGGTTGGCAGTCCAGGCTTTCAGGGACAAGCATTAATTAGCCACCTCTACCAGGCTGAGAGCAAGCCAGATCGGAGACATTGACGTGTAGGCAAACATGGATGTGCACACATCTGCACAAGCAAAGAGGGTGTACACACACCCCAAGTCCTTCAGGGCCCCCCCACAGACGCAGCACCTGGAAATAACCAAAGGGCAGTTCTAGGAGGTCAGACCAGGGCCAGCACACTCCCCACTGCATTGCCAGCAGCAAGTGGCCAGTACAAGATTGAGATCAGGCCGGTGCGGTGGCTCACGCCTGTAATCCCACCACTTTGAGAGGCCTAGGAGGGCAGATCACAAGGTCAAGAGATCGAGACCATCCTGGCCAACATGGTGAAACCCTGTCTCTACTAAAATTACAAAAATTAGCTGGGTGCAGTGGTGCGTCTATAATCCCAGCTACTCGGGAGGCTGAAGCAGGAGAATCACTTGAACCAGGGAGGCGGAGGTTGCAGTGAGCCGAGATTGCACCACTGCACTCCAGCCTGGGTGACAGAGTGAGACTCTGTCTCAAAACAAAAGGAAAAAAGATTGAGATCCACAACCTTTGCTGAACAAGTGATGGACAGGATAGAGGGAGTCAGAAAGAACTGGTTTCAAATTCTCACTCCACCACTTAGTGGCTGTGTGCCCTTAGGCAAGTGCCTTAACCTTTCTGGACTCCAGTACCTAACATACAGGAGCAGGGAAGATATTGAAAATATTTAACAAACCAGACCTGTCACCCTGGACAGCTGAGCTGTCAACAAGCCAGTCCGAGCCATGACACCCAGCACCACTGGGCCAGTGCAGACCTGGCCAGATTTCCACCAGGCAAGGTGACAGGCGGGCTGAGTGTTCCTCCTCCTCCAGTTCCTCACAGCACTGCCTGGGAGTCAGGACTGCCCGGAGTCTGGGGCTGCTGAGCCCTTGGCTGCTCCTACAGCGAGTGACAAGCAGGCCGGGAAACCCAGCTGTCTACCCCTCTGCCTGGCAGGCAGCACCAGCCTGCCCTGGCTGCATACGCCCGCTTGGCGCTCACAGCTGGAAGCCCTCAGCGGGAATGACCCACAGGAGCTGGGGCTTCCGGCCGCAGAGCAATCTGCCGCTCTTCTGGCTCCCAGGCCTTTGCCCCAGCTGACTTCTGCCTCTGAAACGGCCTGGTGCTTCCTGTGGCAAATTCCATGTGTACCTTGGGAACCCTGCTCAGGCAGCAGCCTCCCTCCTGAAGGCTTCCAGCCCGCACCCCACCCTGAATGAGTCACCCGGCCCAGGGCCCCCGCCTTCCTCCCTCACGGCTCTCGGCTGACAGCACTGCCATGGGGTTGCCCACCTGGGCCCCCCGCTAGATGGGAAGCCTCCCTGAGGCTGCAGGCTGGGGCTCACCCTTAGCTGTTCCCCACAGCCTCACAGGGCGGCCGCACTCAGCAGCTGCTAGTCTCAACTGTGGGCTGAGTTACAATGTCCTTTCCTGGAGGGATCTAACTCCAGCACCAGGGCCACAAAGCTCCAACACAGACGCACCTTCCACCCTGACCTGCCCTGGAGGCCCACCCCAGGCCCGCCCCACGCCCACCCCATGCCCATCAGCTCCAGTGAGGTCTGGGCACGGGCAGTGGGAAGCATGCTGCATAACAGGGTCTGAAGAAGTCACTTCAACACCCGCCTGGAGCCTCAGTTCGCCTGGGCACGAAGCTCCCATGACCACTTGGCCCTAGTACTCCTCCCCCCAACCCCCGTTTGCTGCTGGAGTAGACTCCCAGGCACCCTAAAAAAAAAAGGAGAAGCCTTCTCAGGGCTTCCCACAGTGTGGGGGGGGCTCACTGCCTGTGTCCAAAGCACCCGGGGGCACCCGTTATGAATGCCAACCCCCACCCCCCAAACAAGTGCAGAATCTCAGGGGTGGGCCCAAAGCCGTACTGGTGAAAAAAGAAAAAGGAAAAGGAAATCACGCTGATTCTCATGCCCCTTTGCGGAACACACTCTGCGGATCTCGGCTCCTGGATTGAGCAAGGTGACGGGGTGGGGGGGGTGGCGGAGGGGCTCACGGCCAAGACCTGGCATCAGAAGACTGCAGGAGCCCCTAACCCAGAGTAGCGACAGCTTCCGAAGCTCCCTCTGCACAAGTCATTCCATTGAGTACTAATGGCAGAGGGGCTGCCTGGCCCTCAGCAAACCCCCAAACTGCCTTCCCTGTTGCTGGGCAGTTCCCCAAGACCAGGGGCTGTGCCTCCCCCCTCTGATTGCACGGCCTCCCAGATGCAGCTGCCTCTTCCCTCAGATCGCATCCCTCAGGCAGGGAGGGGCTGTACCTCTTCCCTGGCAGCCCCCCACCCCTCGGAGTGGCCAGCACAGGTCTCGTGGGAATCCTGCAGCCCACGGGCTTCATCCCCACTTCATCCCCGAGTGCCCTCGGGGTAACCAGGGGAAGCCCTCACTCCTCCAGGGCCTGAGAACCACAGGGCCAGGCCGGCTCCAGGCGGCAGCGAGAAATCCCACCCTGTCTGGAGAAGGGTTTCCGGTCAGGGTCCAAAGGCCTGATGGGAAACAGCCCCACCGTGGCCAAGTTTGGGCTCTCAAGAGCAACAGTGGCCAAGAGCTCCTGGCCGCTAAGGCGGGCAGCTGGGCTCCCATGGCCCACAGGCCGTTTGAGGGGTGGCCTCCCACCTCCTCCCCTCCAGGTTCCTCTCTTGTCTGAAGCTTTGCTGTGACTGGCCCTCCCTGCACTTCCTCCCTGGCTCTGTGTGGCTCCAGCCCCTGTAGCCGGCAGAGGGGGTCAGCTCCCTTGAGCAATCTGGGGCCTGTTTATCCTCTTGGACAATAAAAAAAAAACCCCACAGCCCTGTCACCTCTAAACAATGAGGAACAGAAAGCCCCTTGGCAAAGCAGAACAAAAGGTCACTCCCTCCACAGCAGCGGTCTCCAGGAGCAGGGGGCTGGGCCCAAACCACAGGCCTGGGAGCCCATCGGCCTCCCTGCCTCCGGTCAGCACAGGGGTCCCCCAGGAGGTCCCCAAAACAGGGCAAGCATTCTCTAGGAAATGAGGGGCTACAGAAGCTTCCAGTTCTTTCACTTTGGGTTGGGGAGGCTCCAATTCACACCTCACCCATCCCCACGGGGGATCTTTGACATGTTAAAATGAGGAAATAGTTGGATAGTACTTAATTCAGACAGCTTGTTTAGC